GAGTTAAAGAATGAGAAGAAAGTGGTGTACGTGACAAAGGGAACAGTTCTTTACAAAGGAATAGAGGTCTCGAAAAGGCATTACTGTTTCAAGAAAAGGTTGGTGAACTTAAGACACCTGAATCAAGGGGAAGTGTCTAGAGAAGAATGTGGTAAAGTTGATTGGGGTGAGATTCTGAAGGGTACCCTGTTTCAAACTAAGAAGTTTAGGCTTTAATTTGTAATCCGTAGAGGAGTTTAAGCAGGAGAGGGGCATTAGTGGGTGTTTTGGAAAAAACCAGTAGCTCTGTGGAAGGATCTCAAGACAGGAGGACCATTTTAGGAGGTTCATGCCCTAATTTATGTAATGACCTACTGAGTCACAATCTCCTGGGGATGGACCTGGGAATCTGTATAATTAGAGAATGTCCCAGGTGATATGATCGGGCAAGTTGGGAAACGTAAAAACAGAGCATTGCACATAAGAGATGTGGTTTCTAGAACCAGTGTTGCTACTGACTATGTGAGCTTGTACAAGTCTCCTGGTTTTCCCATCTCGAAAATTGAGGGTTTGGGACTAAATAATTACTGTAATTGTTTCCTTCTATAATTCTGTACTTCTAAACAAACAAAAAAACCCAACCTTAATTGAGTTACTTTTTACATGCAATGGCTACAATTTTTTTTTTCCTTCTGGGTCTTATTGACCCTTTATAGAAGAAGAATTTCCTACTACTATTCAGGCATTTCTACTTTTCTCTGCCTTAGTATGAATATATTTCCCACATTCTCCAAATTGCATTTGGATTATGTTAAATTGAAAGCAGTCTTCTTTGTTTTATGCCTGCTTTCTACCACACATATTTCTTGGTTTCTAAAAGGGTAACAGTACCAGTTCTTCATTAATTTATAATGAGCAGGAAAATCTCCACATAAATATTCTAAAACCATAGGTAATTAACACAGTGTTCAAATTATATCATCACTGCACACTGCCAAGATTGTTCATTATTATGTGTTAGCTCCACCAAGGAGTAGGGAGAGGTGTTTGGGGATGCTGATTTCAATCACACATCCCTGAAAGAGGCATCAGGCATGTAACCGGAGAGATATTCAGTACCTTTTTCTTCTTCCAAAGAGTTATACCAAGAGGTAAGAAATAATTGTTAGTGCTGTCGAGTCTGTTCTAACTCCTAGTGACCCTGTGTTCAGCAGAGCAGAACCCTACCTGGTCTTTTTTTTGGTGCCATGCTCTCATCTTCTGGCACTATATCAGACATGCTCTGCTGCTATTCACAGGATTTTCATGGGCAATTTTTTCGGAAATAGGTGGCCAGGTCCTTCTTCCTGGTCTTAGTCTGGAAGCTCTGCTGAAACTTGTCCAGGATGAATGACCCTGCTGGTATTTGAAATCCCAGTAGCATAGCTTTCAGCATCACAGCAAACGCAGCCACTACAGTATGACAACTGACAGACGGGTGATGTGGTTTCCTGCCTGGGAAACAAACCTGAGCTGCAACAATGAGGGCACTGAATCTTAAACACTAGACCACCAGGGTTGGCAACAAATAATTAGCACTCCCTAATTTCTGTATGTGATTGATGTAGACTTGTGTTTTGGAGGGTGTCTCTGGCTTGTTTTCCTTCTCCCCTACAAATGTACCAACATTAAATTGACGTGTATTGCATTAATAGTAAGCACTTAGTAAATGGTAACTGTTATCACATAAAGTAACACATTTAGTTTTTAAAAAATGTAATATGTATCTGTTGGATTTTTCAAAATTTCAATTATTTCTCTGCAAGTACTACTCTGCCAGCAGACTAGTAGAATTGTGAAGCATGAGGTAATTATTCTACAAGAGGGCAGAGAGAATTGATATAAACATAACAGATATGAAATGCTATGCTTTAAAAGCTGACTAGTTCCATCAGACTATGCTACCATATTCAGATGTTACTACAGTCATTCAGATGTGCATACATACATACATGCTATAGTATGGTACCTACATGCAGGGGTGGTTAAATCCCATGTACCAGGTGAAGAAGGTTTTGTAACACCAGTACCTTCAGCTTCACTGAAAGGATTTGCTCTCCCTGCCCATTATATTATTTGATTCATTCTTTGGTTTTATTTCAGGATTGTACCTGTGATTATTGAGCATCTAGTATGTGGTATTCTGTTGTATCCACAGAATAACGTGATGACTAGCCAGAGGTTCTAGAAAGAGGATCTGTAAATTTTAGACCTAGATCTTACTGATTAAGGCTTTGTGACTGTGGGATCCTATTCCTTATTTGCCTTTTGTTAAGTCCATACTTTTTCTTCAGACTATCTTTGGTGACTCGCATGCTTTTGTGTAGTTATAAATGCGTTATAGGTAATGCTTTTGGAGGATTTTCTCCCGCATTTTAAAATTAGTCTCTCTCAGTTACAGAGACCTAATAAAATAGGGGCCCTTGCTACTACATATCTGTAAGTAAATAGTTTCTTTGCAGGCAGGCATGTAGCTTTTTTTGGTTTAACATTACTTACGATAATTTAAAATTGGGGAAGTAAAAATGTTTTACTTGTTTGTAGAATTTCTGTATTTGAGGAAGTTGTAGTCATAACTTGATTTATGAGACTTCCTTCTGTGTTAACTTTTTTAGCTGGTGACGCCACTGTTTACCTAGTCTCACAAACTACAGTTCCGGGAGTCGTCTCTTTGATTCCTTTTACTCCATAATCCCTCATATTTAAAGCCACCCTGAGTTCCACCTGTCTTAGCCCCTTCATCGTTTCTCCAGTTCATCCCGTGTCTCTGTTCCTGCTGCCACTGTTCTAGTCAGATGCCAGACACTGTCCTCATCTCTTCCCTAACTGATCTCTCTGCTTCAGGCCTGGCCTTTTCTTCACAGCTGATTGTTTATCTTAAGTGAAATCTGACTCTGTCCCTCTCCTTTAAAACTCCTTGTCAGCTGCAGGTTCAAGTTCAAGGTTCTTAACCTTACAGTTATAACTGATTCTTACTCACCCTTTAAAGCTTAACACAATATCTCCTCTAAGAGTTCTTGACCACTCCACTGTGGTTTAGGTATTATTTTTCTGTGTAATCAACAACTCCAATACCTGGCATTTATATTACCTTTTGAGAAAAGAGTGAAGAAAACCAACTTGTACATGGATGAAATTTCCTCCTACCTAAGAAAAATATAGTGACAGGTGAAGTCTGAGTGTGGTGACAGGTTTAAGGCTCCATTGCAGTAAAGCTTATTGACATCTAAAGAAAGCGTGTACACTTTGAGAGGGAGGTTGCTATAGAGTGGTAACATACGGGAAACCTGGGGGTCGGAAGAGGAGAATGGGCAGCGCCATTCAAAGCACTGTTGCCCTATTGCCCTGTTGCTTATCTCTGTTGTGTAGATAAATTGTGTCGATGCCTGATACCATTAAGCACTGTAATCACAATTAACTCTCTTTGCTCACCACACAATGACCTGGTGAAAATTTAGTCTAAGTGATAGTTTGCATTATGGGAAGAAAAGCTGCAGTTTATTCTCTTGGCTGTGAAATTTCTCACTGTAAATTAATAAATTGGATTTATATACCAGTTTTTTGTGAGTGTGACTCACTTTTGCGGTTACAGTGTTACAGTCATTTTTCTCCTTAGGCACGCTGAATTCACTAAGATAGTTTACCTTGTAACACTTCTTGGCCAGCTCCTCTGGTGACACCTTTCACCATGATGTGCAACTCTTTATGCCTTCTTTGTTTAAATGGCTTGTGCAAACATTTTTCCTTAGGCTTCTAAAAATATTAATATTTAAATTATTTGGGTAAATAGCTGAGCTACTGAGTTTTTTAATATAGTAGTATTTTCCTTCAATGTTGTAACCCGTGGCTTTAATTACTAAGTACATTGCTATAAATTTGCTAGTTCTTCACTCTCCCTAACTGGTCCTACCCTCGAGATTCATGGAATAAATTTTGAATTTTGAATGTATTCATAGTAAAATAATGAATTCATTCAAAATTATGTTGCACTCTCCCTTCCTGGACACCCAGGAAGCCATTTACCTACTATGTCCCAGGCAGTGTACTAGTTTATGTTCAATACTTAAAAAATACTCCTGCAAAGTATTTTTACAGATGAGGAATCTGAGACTCAAAAAGGTTAAATAACTCTTTCATGGTCACAGCTAGGAAAATAGCAGAGAGGGGAGAACCCAGAGCTGATAATTTCCAAATCCCTTCTCTTTCCAGTCCAGAGTACGTCCCCAACATATTTAGTTATGTTTAAACAAACATATATATGTATATATTTGTTTCTTTCTTTTTCTTTTTGCTGAGGAAGATTAGCCCTGAGCTAACATCTATGCCAGTCTTCTTCTACTTTATATGTGGGTTGCCACCACAGCATGGCTGATGAGTGGTGTAGCTCTGAGTCTGGGATCCCAATCCATAAACCCTGGGCCACCAAAGCAGAACATGCCAAACTTTAACCACTACACCACTGGGCTAGCCCCAAACGTATATGTTTTAATAATTACTTATAAACTATTTTTATAAACCTGTAGAACTTGATTAAACAGCTGTGCTACATTTATTTTGGATAGTTTTCTTGTTTGGGGATTTTTTTTTAAGAAAAGGGTATTATGGATTTCTGTGTTATTGTACATTTAATTTATACAGTTGATTTCTCTGAAATAAATTCTTGCCTAATTATAACAATCTTATTCTTTCTTAAATTAATTTCTAACAAATTGATTCATGCCAAGAGTTTCTTGTTTGCTATTAAACATATGACTGCTTTTCTTTTAAATGGTTCTGTTTTAAAGGCAGCATCATTACCCAGCAAAATCTCCTACCCTTCCCCAAATGTAAATTCTGCCTCTTCAGCAGCAGCAGAAGCTGTGCATTGTTTTCTGTTGGAAGTGTGAGCTGAAGGGGACAGATGTTCCCACTGCTTAGTGGGTGCACTAAGCTGTGATCTGCCCTTGTTATATTATTAATGGCATGATATTTTCATGTTGCAGATGGCTGAGAGCTAGCAAGGAAAACTCAGGACCATGATGGCTCAGTTTCCCACAGTTATGAATGGTAAGCCGCTTTGTGCTTGTAGTAAGATAAAGAGGTTATGGATTTTTTTTGGTAGAGGTTATAAAATATTCACTTAGATATTTTTCCTTAAGCTTATAAATGTAAAACTTAAAGTATTCTTGTTGAAAATATTTGGATAGTTTATTTCAGAATAATGCATATATCTTCCACTAGAACATTATGCAGTAAATCCCATAATTCAGTGTAAGCATGTTCTGCAGTATCATCTGGAATGTGTGCTTGCCTTTGAGCCGTTAAGAATAACCTAAAGGTATATTGTGTTTGATGCGTAAAACTGGAGGACAAAAAGCAGACTGCTATAAGAATTTTATTTTTGATAGCCTGGGATGATTGTAAACTGGTCAAGCCAGTAAAGATTTATTTAGTAATATACGTATAAAATTGGTTTGTTTTCCTTTTATAAAGGGTTATGTATGCCTACACACATAATTATTTAATAGGAAACTTTTTAAAGAAAATGTTTAGGTAATTTCAATAATAAAAAGTTTTTAGAGCCTTTTTTCTGATTCTAGTTCTAATTCATTTCCCATGTACAAATTAACCACCCTTAAACACTAAGTTACTGTCTGTCATTTAGAATTAATTGAGAAAATGCATTATGTTTTTAAATTGCTAAAGAAATTAAAATCTTAAGATGCTGAGTTCTTAATTTTGAGCTAGATTTCATTAGATAATTATAAATATAAGGAAATAGAGAGTCCAGTCAATAATACTTTAACATTTACATTGAGAACAGTAATATTACAGAACATTAAGAAAAATAATCACCAATAATTCCACCACCTTCACAGAGCAATTCTGTCATAGGGCCAAATCAGCACATTGTTAATGAAAGTACTGCGTGTTGTATATTTAGTTTTAAGACTCAGGATTGGCCTTCTGAGATTTAGAAAGGTTTTGGAAAAATGAATTATTTGCATAAAAAGTAAAAATAAATTCTAATGTGTGGTAGAATTCTGTCATTTAAGGATGGACTTGAGATAAGGGCTTTGTTGTTTTATTTTTTGCCTTTTCAGAATTCTTATTTAAGGATTAATGTGAGCATTGCTCCTATTGTGTAAATGGTATGAGGTTATAAAGATTATTTGATGCCATGGACAATTTTAAAAAATTAAGTATTTTTTTTTCCGTAATGAGTGATAAACATTAGTTTAGAATCAGGGTGATAATTGTAGTAGTAGTGTGCTCTACCCAAATTTGAGGATTTCTGTGTCCCATAAAAAAGAGTGTGCATTAAACATGTAGTTTAGTCATGAACTTCAACCAACATGTTAATAAGCAGGTTTATAAACAAAATGAAGATGAAAGAAAGCAGTACAAGCCCACTCTTTCTTAATTTTGTTTCTTCCATTTCTTAAATATTTATATATCACTTTGTAGCTCATTGCATTATATATAAAAGAATAATATTGGAAACGAATGAAATGTTCAATAACAAAACAATGATAAGTAATTGTCCAAAATGTTGGGCAATTAATTTAGGAGTAGTATATAGGCATAGAGGTAGTAATTTTTTAAAACTTTGGAGGCATCGATAGCAAATATAGACTGTGGTACCCTCCCACTTAGTTTATAGAATAGCTAAGATTTAAGATAATCTTGTATATGTCTACTTTAAGTCCAATTCAGGGTTTAAGATCTTATTGAAAACATCCATGTATGCATAGCACAAAACCTTCAAAGGCAGTGTTTGCTTCTCTAGTAAATCCTGCTATGGATATGGTGTTTAAGTTTCTCAGTGCCCAGTATTATTGGAACTTGTCTCTGAGTGCTCTAGACCAAGCTGTTTGTCTACATCCTTCTGACATATTCCTCAAATTTTACCAGGTCTACTTCCTCATCTCGAGATTAACCATAGACTTTTTAGACTTCTTTGGTTCTTACAGAGCTGCACTGTCTAATCTAGTAGCCATTAGCTACATGTGGCTATTTCAATTTAAATTAGCAAAAATTGAACAAAATAAAAAATTCAGTTCCTCAGTCACACAGCCATATTTCAAGTACTCAAAGCCACATGTGGCTACTGTATTGAACAATGCAGATACAGAACATTTATATCATCTCAGAAAGTTCTATTGAACAGATATTCTTTTCTTAGTCTCTTTGATGCTTTACTTCCCATCTCCTTAACAGAACTAAAAAAGATCAGTGCATTCTATTTTTACCACTTGTGATGCCGCTTCTGGTGTCTTCTGCACCAGCAGAATCATCTTTGCCAAAGCCTTCTTTCATCATGGTAGGTTTGCTTTCTGCTTTTCAAAAATTTAATAAAATTGTAAATACAGAGAGCCTGAATAAGAGCCATCAAGTGATAGGCAAGAGGCTACTTCAGATACACATTGCTGCCAGTTGATATTGTTGTGTAAGGTAGCTTGTTTCAGCCTCAGAAGTGTGGAGGTACTGAAGACTAGTTAAATGAGTCAGGAGTTCTGAAGCCCGTGACAATGGCGGTATCCAAAATCTGAAAGAGGAGAGGAGGAGGGAAAGAACAGAACAGCTCTTGGCTATAGGAGGAAAAAAATGCCATTTTATTTTTAGAGCTTGATTACTTTTTTAGAATTTTAGACTGGAATCCAGGGGGAACAGAGGACTAATGGCAAATGGAAGGATTTCCATGATTCCACCAATGCAGTTGGAGCAGTTTTCCACAGAATTCAACCTCAGACCCTGTGGATGCAAATAGTGCTCTAAGTAAAGTGGAGAATTTGTTACAGAAATCAGTTAAAATTTAAATGAACAACCAAAAGACAAGTGAGGGCTATCATGTCGGTCTGGAATAACTAGGGACAGCAGACACAAGGGGAGTTTATTCTTACTCATAAGCTGTTTCATGTGGATGTCAACTGGATATTCCCCAGAAAGACTGGGGACTGTGCAAGAGACCAGAAAGAGTCCCCACCTTGGTGTTGCAGGCAGCTGTAGGGGAACAGGCACAAAATACCATGCATTTCCCTGCATCCTTTTCTCCTATTAATCAACAGCCTTAAGCCACTGGGAGGAGGTCAGCAAAGACTCCCCTCAGGACAAAGGCAGAGACACATTGCTGCTAGGGTAAGAGTAGAAGAAAAACCTCTCTACCACTGAGGGAGGGCAAGGAAACCTTTTTGCACCTAAGATTCTGTACCAATACCAAGCAAAGGTATTGCTCCTACTACTACTGGGGGAGCAGCAGGAAAGTCCTTCCCAAGACCAACCAGAGACACAAGGAAGACTTTGGATGCTACAGGGTGGAGGGGCAGGAACACAGAGAAATCCACATCGCTAGGGCCCAGGTGCACAGGGCTTGCCTAAGACTGAGTATGGATCAGTATCAAATGGGAGTCAAAGCCAGCTGTTGGGGAATGGCAGACTCAGCAGTCAGTTAAATTTAAGGTGCTTCCAGCAGTTTAGGAGAGTCACACCAGGGCATTTTCCTTGGAGAAGAAGGCTCCAGAGCCAGTTCTAAATGGGAAAAGGTCATTAATGCCTCTCCTGCTCCCATGCCTCTTGGAGTCTAAGGTGTTTCCTCCTCAGGTGCCTGGTTATTGTTCTCTACCACTGCAAAATCTAGCTGTCCCGTTTAGCTATAACTTCACTGTTTTCTAGTGATCCAGAAGGGTTAGGTGCAAGAGGGACAAGGACATTTTTGTACACCCTAACCAGAATTAACTGAATCCTCTAGCTCCCTTTTTAGCTGGGCTACCACCTGGAGGAGGTACCAACAGGCCTTGACCACAGTTGCTGTTAGGAGAAAGAAAGATGCATCATGTCCAAGAATGGTCAGGGTAGTCCTGAATTTCCACAATAGGTCTATGTGTCCCCTATAACCCCCCACCCCTTTAGTCCTGATTATTAGCCAGGAAACAGCTAAGAGGTGATGATGATCCCTTTCTGTAGACAGCACATTCAGTGGCCAAACTTTTACTTTAAGCAGTGTGGACTAGGAGGAAGTGATGGAAGTAGGATCAGACATCATTGCATTGTTGAGCAACTTTTGTAAAGAAAAATAGATACATCGGTGTCATAGTGCAAATGGTCCAGAAAGCTGAAAACATGACACAGATTAGTTTCAAGGGTACAATAGTGTGGACATTGTGGGCTGATTGGTAACCTGAAAAAGTGTCAGTTGTTTGAGGCACCACTAGTAGCCTGAGAGAGGTGTCAAAGGTCTAATGCAGTCAATCTGCCAAGAACCAAGGGGGAGTTGCCCTGTGCAATGAGACCTCCCCAATCAAACACACACACACAAAGGAATTACAAGTCTGGCATGCACAGGTATCCTCTGCATCAGAAACAGAGTCAGACTTAATCAGCAGCTTGATTTCAGTCTAAATTAGAGAATGGACCGTGACCATGGGCTATATTAGTGACCCAGACTATTCAATTAGCAATTAAAATTTGTTTTCAGTTTGTAGCCCCAAAGGGAGTGTTTTTAAACTGTCAGTTGTAATTTTCCAAGTGGCAAACCAAGCAGCTGGGCCTTTGGCACAGCCCGAGAATCTGAGTTCTACCCACTGAACAGAATGACCGTGTCTCCTTTTGGTTCTGTGTAGCTCTAAGGCTGAACAGTCACAGCAGCCCAGTGGACACTATCAGCTTCAGCTTCTCTGAACCATTAGTGAACTAGGTCCAGGAATTTCAGGGGACCTCAGTGATCCAGTAGCCTTGCTTCAGACAGTGGAGTAGGAATAAAGTTTCTTCTCAGAGGGATAGCTGCCACTTTTTTATGTCAGGCCAAGATGCCATTGGGGCCAGGCTGTCTGTGTTCTTGAATATACCATTTCTCTTTGACAAGCAAGGCTTTTGGGGTCCTTCTCACCTCGTTAGTTGTGAAATTCAAGTTGACCCACCCCAAAATGGAATTTATCAGGCAGGGAGTCACAAGGCCTCCCTGGGTCAAGCATTCAGACCTCAAAGGGTGCCTCCTGGTGGGGGCTACATCACTGTGCCAGAGGCTTCAATTGACAGTGTCTTCAGTCACAAAGATTTCTACTGTCTCCAACACCCAGAGTCCAGTTTTTTTAGGATTTACTAGCTAGCCCTGCTGGCAGAGATATTTATGTTAGCTAGTAGTAGGAAACCACTGTTAATTTATTTGTTTTGACAAATGTATGGTTCTGTAAATTGTTAACATAGTGGAAATTGGGAGAAGGGCATACAGGAACTTTGTACTGTCTTTGCAACTTTTCTGTAAATCTAAAATTATTCCAAATTAAGAAGATTATTTTAAAAAGTACTAGATTGCTCCCCATAACTTCCAGGGTAAAGGTCAGACTCTTAAGGATGGTATATAAGACCCTTGCCAGTTAATTCCTCCTGCCTATTTCTTACCTTTTCTCACAGTCACAAGATGCTCAGCTCTTAGTCTGCTCTGTGTGCTTACAGCATCTGGCACGTGCCTTGACTTCCCATGCTATGCCCTTTTAGTGTAAAAAGCCCTTATCCTACCTCTTCACATGGCAAAATTCAAGCCAAGCTTCAAGGCTCTGCCTCAGTCTTACCTTTGCTGTAATCTCATCCTTGATGCTTCTAACTCAGCTTTTTGTATATATTTCTGATTAGGGTGCTTCACAGGTTAACACTGTAAATGCTGGTAGGTGTTTTCTAGAATAAGAGTTCCTTGCGGATGGGAATAATATTTTATTCATCTTTTTATTTTCAGTATTTGTCTTGATTCCGATTTCTAGTGAGTGGTATACAGTAATTGTTCAATAGGTGTTAATTGGGTGAATGAGTGAAAAGCCTTAGGTCTGTGCTCCATGATTATGATAGAGCACACTTTTGTTACTCAGGTATTAAGTACTGTCATTAAATGGACATTTGTGATCTGTATTTACCTTTTAGAATTGTGTTTTAAGCATTCTCATATATACCCTATAATTTCTTTATCTTTCGTTTATGTTTTAGGAGGGCCAAATATGTGGGCTATTACCTCTGAAGAGCGGACTAAGCACGACAAGCAGTTTGATAACCTCAAACCCTCAGGAGGTTACATAACAGGTTGTGTTTATATTTTATTTGTGAATTATGTTCTTTTTCATGTAATGACTTGGAATTAGTTTTAATTTGACTACCATCAGATTTGTATTATTAAGTGATAAAATTCATATCAATCAGAATTCTAGAATTTTTTAAAATGTGGCTTTCTTACTGTACCTGGAACCATCTTAATTTATTGTTTTGGATTTGGCCTATGGAAGATCTTTTCCTGATTCTAAATGATAGTCAAGAATTTCAGTTTTAATTTTCTGGTTTCACATTTTAACATTATATCTAGAAAGTTTTCAATTTATTTCTTAAGGTAATTGAGAGCTTTTTCCAAGCAAATTTATTAATGTGCTCTTAATGTGTTGTGCCAATTACTAGTATAACAATTAGTATTACTATAATCTAGTAGAAATACATATCAAATCCATTTCCTTAAAAATAATCTGGAATCTGTCCATAACATTTACCTCTCTGTCTTTGAGAAGCTGTACCAAGCATTGATTGTTGATGTTGGTCCTTGTTTTGCAAAAAGACCTCCGGAACCAAAAGAAGATTAATTTAGGTGTATCTTTTAAATTTTTTTCCATAAACAATACTTTTTTTTCTGTACCAAAGCACCTTAGTGCTTTATTTATAGTAATAGCAAGTATAATAGCTAATATTTATCAAATCTATACTGTATTTGAGATACTATACTAAATGCATTATCTCATTTAACCTTCACAACAAGCCTATGAGGTAGCTACTGTTGTTTATGTTTATAGATGGTGAAAGTGAGACTTAGAGATGTTCTGTAACTTACCTAAGGTCACAGAGATGGTTAGTGCTGATCTGGGCTTTGAAACTTTTCAGTCTGACTTTGGTATTCATCCTCTTAACCATTATAGTTTGAGGTTATTTGCACTTCTATAATAATACCTACCTTCTTGGGTGTCACAGTTGGGATTTGATTATCTTACAAATTAATAGCTTAGTCTGTTACTGTCTCATGAATGCTGGCAGAAGACCCAAGATTCCTGAGTCAGAACAGAGGACTCTGTTACTAATTGCACAGCTAGCAGCATGAGCATCAGCATGTTTCTGTCAGCTTTCCTTATTCTGTAAGTCACAGGGGCCATGCAGAAAGCCCAGGATGCTACACATGCAGTGGTTGTGTTGCAGACGAAGAACACTGAGTTTGAGGGAACCCACCATTTTTTAGCAAGCAGTAAACAAGCTTGTTCTTTGTCCCATAGGAAAACATTACCTCATCCCTCAAGATTGCTCTTTGCAGACCCCATTCTGAGAAATGACCCGGGTAGAGAGCAATTGCAATCTTGCATTCTTGGCACGTACAGCAGGACGTATAGGATGTGAGAGACCTATGGAGGACTCTCTGTCCCGACACCTGGTATTTTGTATATAGAACTTTCCTAGGGAATAGTGTTTTTAACTATAAATTTTATTAAATGGGAATATTATTAAATAAGACCCCAATGATTGTGGAAAAACTAAGATGAATAATCTTTCATCACTTATTAATACATATAACTTCAGTTGTCACTTTTGTTTTAAAACATCTGTCTTATTAATGTAAATTCATCTGTGTATTTTCTGTTCAATTTTTCCTTTAATGATGGGAATTAAAATTATAGTAAATCAATAACATTATGATTATTATATTGCCGGTTATTATTAGTCAGAGGCATTAGAGTAATTCCGTTTACTAATATGCTGCTTGATTTTTGTTTCTGTTGCTTTCAGGTGATCAAGCACGTTCCTTTTTCTTACAGTCAGGCCTGCCAGCTCCTGTTTTAGCTGAAATATGGTAAAATAGATATTTTTTGTAATTAACTTAAATTTCCGATAGTCTGGTTTTGTTTTGTTTTTAATATAGTGTTAAGATAAAGTTGTTTTTAGTTGTAGTCTGTTGTTAAGAGTATTTCTTCAGCTTTTTAGAAAATAAATTTTATTGAGCAAACGACTGAAAATCAATTGAGATTTTGTTCTAGAGGACAAATTTCTAATTTCCTTAGAACTTCTAAGTAGACAAGATGTATACATTTCATCAAAAAACACTTCTTTGGTGAAACTGTCACTCTTTGCAGATGACATGATTTTATATATAGAAAACACTAAAGAATCCACTAAAAAACTTTTAGAAACAATAAATGAATACAGTCAAGTTGCGGGATACAAAATCAACATACAAAAATCGGTTGCATTTCTGTACACTAACAATGAAGTAGCAGAAAGAGAAATTAAGAAGACAATCCCATTTACAACTGCAAAAAAAAGAATAAAATACCTAGGAATAAACTTAACCAAAGAGCTGAAAGATCTGTATCCCAAAAACTATAAAACATTGTTGAAAGAAATCAAAGAAGACACAGAGAAATGGAAAGATATTCTGTGCTCTTAGATTGGAAGAATTAACATAGTTAAAATGTCCATACTTCCTAAAGCAATCTATAGATTCAACGCAATCCCTATCAAAGTTCCAACGTTTTTCACAGAAATAGAACAAAGAATCCTAGAATTTATATGGAACAACAAAAGACCCCAAATAGCCAAAGGATTCCTGAGAAAAAAGAACAAAGCTGGAGGTATCACACTCCCTGATTTCAAAATATACTACAAAGCCATAGTAAGCAAAACAGCATGGTACTGGCACAAAAACAGACACACAGATCAATGGAACAGAATCAAGAGCCCAGAAATAAACCCACACATTTATGGATAGCTAATATTCGACAAGGGAGCCAAGGACATACAATGGAGAAAGGAGAGTCTCTTCAATAAATGGTGTTGGGAAAACTGGTCAGCCACATGCAAAAGAATGAAAGTAGACCATTACCTTATACCATGCACAAGAATCAACTCAAAATGGATTAAAGACTTGAATGTAAGACCTGAAACCATGAAACTTCTGGAAGAAAACATAGGCTCTTTGACATCGGTCTTAGCAGCATATTTTCAAGTACCATGTCTGACCAGGCAAGTGAAACAGAAGAAAAAATGAACAAATGGGACTACATCAATCTAAAAAGCTTCTGCACAACAAAGGAAACCATCAACAAAATGAAAAGACAACCTAACAATTTGGAGAAGATATTTTCAAACCATATATTAGATAAGGGGTTAATATTCCAAAATATACAAAGAACTCAACAACAGAAAAATCAATAACCCAATTAAAAAATGGGCAAAAGATCTGAACAGAGATTTCTCCAAAGAAGATATATGGATGGCCAAACAGGCATATGAAAAGATGCTGAACATCATTAGCTATCAGGGAAATGCAAATCAAAACTACAATGAGATATCACCTCACTCCGGTTAGAATGGCTATAATTAACAAGACAGGAAACAACAAGTGTTGGAGAGGATGTGGAGAGAAGGGAACCCTCATACACTGCCAGTGGGAGTGCAAACTGGTGCAGCCACTATGGAAAGCAGTATGGAGGATCCTCAGAAAATTAAGAATATATCTACCATAGGATCCAGCTATCCCACTGCTGGGTATTTATCCAAAGAACTTGAAAATGCAAAGGCATAAAGATACATGCACCCCTGTGTTCATTGCAGCATTATACACAATAGCCAAGACTTGGAAGCAACCTAGGTGCCCATCAAGGGATGAATGGATAAAGATGTGGTATATATATGCATTGGAATACTACTCAGCCATAAGAAATAATGAAATCCGGCCATTTGTGACAACATGGATGGTCCTTGAGGGTATTATGCTGAGTGAAATAAGTCAGAGGGAGAAAGTCAGATACTGTATGATCTCACTCATAAGTAGAAGATAAAAACAACGACAAACAAACACATAGCAACGGAGATTGAATTGGTGGTTACCATAGGGGAAGGGGGGAAGGGCAAAAGGGTTGATTAGGCTCACATGTGAGGTGATGGACTATAATTAGTTTTTGGGTGGGGAACGTGATGTAATCACAGAATTCAAAATATATTATGATGTACATCTGAAAGCTATATAATGTTATAATCCAGTGTTACTGCAATTAAAAAAAATCAGCTTCAAAAAAAGGAAAATGAGGTTAAATAAATTTTGGTATTAAAAAAACACTTGTTTATAATTTGATGGAGTGTCAAAATCTTTGTTATTTTGTAGTTGTTTCATTTATCTTATCATCTATAAACCCAGAATTAGCCCTGCTTTCCCATTCCTACCTTGAAGAAATTGTTTTTTATAATATCTAAGGTTTTGTTTTTAATATATTTACAATAAATACCTACCCCATCTTTCTTTCCACTTGGAATATTCCCATGCCTGGCAGAGTGCCAGGCACATAGCAAGCGTTCAATAAATATTTGAACAAATGAATAAATTAAGTTTAGAGTGATTATACTCTTAAATAATTTCTTTTAATCTGCACTGGTGGAATTCATCCCAAAGGTCTCTAGATTCTATGTAGACTGGCAGTATTTTACTAGATGCTATCTCTAGTCAATGTTTCTTATTGTGCAGTTTTGGCTTTTTGTTTTATATATAAACACAAACATATACTTAATTAAGTGATGATCTATGTGTGAATGCTATGTCATTGTTTTTATTTTATCGTCATCCCTAAAAGTAATGTTGACCCTACATACCAATCTACCCTCCTCGTGGTCCTTTTAGGGCTTTATCAGACCTGAACAAGGATGGGAAGATGGATCAGCAAGAGTTCTCCATAGCTATGAAACTCATCAAACTGAAGCTTCAAGGCCAGCAGTTGCCCGTGGTTCTCCCACCTATTATGAAGCAACCTCCTATGTTCTCTCCATTAATTTCTGCTCGTTTTGGTATGTATTTATTAATTTAATTAGCTGCAGTTTGATAGTTAAACTTGATTCCTAGACATAGTATCTGAGGATTAGAAAAGGATTTATTTGCATAAAATGTCAATCCCCAGACTCCAAGTTATTTTCAAGTCTGAGATAAGAAATATTAAATTTGCTATCGTAGCTCGGGTGTCCATGTGTCCCAGTTTTCCAGGGACAGTTCTGATTTATGCCTGTTGTCCTGGCATCTAGTCCTGGCATCCTTTCATAATTCCCAGTTGGATGATAAGTTATATGATCCCCCTACTTATAGCTGATCCTAAATACTATTCTTTATTAGTTGCCTCTGCATTCTGTATGAGTAACAGAAAAAATGTAAACAATTTCCAGCTCACTTGAAATGGTTTTATTTGGGGGGTAATTTAAAATTATACATAGGTAGAAATTTCCTTAAAGGTTAATTAGCCAGCTAAATTTAGGGCTAAAATTTGCAGACTTTGTGCTCATTAATTTATATATTTATCAGAGCTAACTAGTTTTCCATTCGTTTTCATTAGTCAATTTCTTATTAATTATATGTGAGAAGCACTCATTGGAAAGGAGCATTCAATTAGATATCTCCCTGTATCTGAAACATATTCCTTCAGTCCAGATGTTAGATCTTAAAATACTAAATTCTTTCACTATTGCAGTGAACTCTAGAGATAAATACCAAATCGTTGTGTGACTGTATTTATATAGTGTACTTAGTATTCTGCAGTTAGTAAATGAATGAGTCATGACTTTGTTCGTTTTAAAGAATTGTCCTTGAATCCCTAGGTGTGTTACTTATAAGAAAAGTGAAATATGTGGAATGCTTTCTTCTTGGAAATAATGCATATGCATAAATGGATCTCCTAAAGTATCTAGTAATTAGAACATGTCTTTTTGGGAGGGGGGTTGGGGAGTGAGTGTGTGTCTGTGTTAGCTCAGCAGCGCTGTATTTATTATCCTTGCACAAAAACTCACATTTGATCAGGTAATACATCGTCTCTTTGAGGCTACTGATATTTCATTGGGAAGGGCTGCGTATTTTTTTTCATGATGCCAGAAGAGAATGTTTAACTCCTTGGTGGGCACTTCCTTAGTTCACACAGGTCAGAATATTGATACTGAAAGCAGCAGTTTACCTCCCCCACTGCTGGATCAAAGCTGCTGTAGTGGATTGTTTGAGACTAGATAGTTTGCCCATAGTATTTCTGTAAACATAGGGTCTGCTCACTGTACTGTAAACTTGTTTTTTGGCGTGTGTTTTGCAGTTGATTTACTAGCACTGGAAAATGTGTTCTGTTTTGTCTTTAGGAATGGGAAGCATGCCTAATCTGTCCATTCCTCAGTCATTGCCTCCAGTCGCACCTATAGCAACACCCTTGTCCTCTGCGACTTCAGGGACCACCCTTCCTCCCCTGATGATGCCTGCCCCCCTAGTGCCTTCTGTTAGCACTTCATCCTTACCAAATGGAACCGCCAGTCTCATTCAGCCTTTATCCATTCCTTATTCTTCTTCAAGTAAGTACTTTAAGTCTATGAGTCAGTATTTCATATGAAGAAAGAAACTGCTGTATTTGTGTCCCAATAGATACACATCTCCTTCAGACTTTGTGATATTGTTTAGTGTGAACTTTCTTCCTTTTTCTTTTCTTTTTTTTTCCCCAGCATTGCCTCATACGTCATCTTACAGTCTGATGATGGGAGGATTTGGTGGTGCTAATATACAGAAAGCCCAGTCTCTAATTGATTTAGGATCTAGTAGGTATGTCTACACAAAACTTCCAACTTTTTATGCTTTCAATAAGGAGTATTTAATAAAAGACTTTTTTTAAAGCTCTGAGCTTATCCAGGTTTTACTTTAGAATGGCCAAGTGTAAATACTTAAGGTAAGCTTACTATTTATAACTCACATAAAATAAACTTTATTTTTATAATTATTAAAGGTCTGTAGTATTTTACTTTTGAAAAGAAGCTTTCATGTAAACTAAAAATATTCTGTATATTTTCAATCAATTTTTTCCCCAAAGCTACATATTTTTTCTTTTAAAAAAAAGTGTGTATTTCTCAAAACATCTCGTAATCATTGCACATTATTAATTTCTTTCTTGAGCAGATTCTGCTGGTTGAGCCTTTAAATTTCAGAAAGCACAGAAGCATCAATGTTCATTCATCACCCCTCATGTAAATCACAATGATGCTCTTTAAACCAATGACCCAGAAGAATAATGTTTGTATCCTAGCCTAAGCATTCACTGATTATATGACCTTGTTTTTCCTTAACATCACTGAGCCGTAGTTTGCCCACCTAAAAAATGGGGACAGTAATACTTTTTAAGTGTGTCAGGATTAGAATAATATTTGGAAAGGCTCTAGCACAATATGGGGCCTGGCACATAGTAGGTTCTCGATGTACAGTAGTTCTATACTTCGTATGGTATTTGCTTTCTTAAGAACAAGGATAATTGCTTAAATATTTTGTAATATCAAATACAAAAGGAATTGCTGTTGTGTTATAGAAGGTATGATCCTTAATGTCTCTGCCTTATAAAGTTTAATTTTATTTAGTAACATAAAAATTTTAAATTTTGTTATAGCTCAACTTCCTCAACTGCTTCCCTCTCAGGGAACTCGCCCAAAACTGGGACCTCAGAGTGGGCGGTTCCTCAGCCTTCACGATTAAAATATCGGCAAAAATTTAATAGTCTTGACAAAAGCATGAGTGGATACCTCTCAGGTAAGTGCCATACAATGCTTAAGAATGTGAGAGAATTAAAGTTTTTTATGTGAACTTCTATTGAAGAACTTTTATTTGAATTTATACTTTGTAGCTCATCTAAAATTGTACCATCCCAAAACTTTAGCAGGCATCTGATAAATATAAATAATGTAAACTGTGTAAGAGTTCAAAGGTGGATACAAATTGATTGCTTTCTTCAAAGTTCTTAAAATTGAGTTGAACATACAGATATACACTCAGCTCTTTGGAAATAAGCCCTCTCCCTTGAGAAGATCAAAGCTTATCCTCCGCTGCGGTGAGTGCAGAAGCTCAGGTGACGAGGGAGACTGCGTGGGACTTAGCCTCAGCTCGCTCTCCCCGAGAGTCCCCTTCCTCGCTGGCTCTTTCTCTGCTTGCCCCTCGTAAAACCTCACATGAGCATTGCTCACCCTTTTATGCTCCAATCCAAATGTAGCCATAAAACTTGACCTTAGATCCCCATAGAACATTTGAGTCCTTGCCAGAACAAACATCCAAACTATGCTAATTGAGAATAGTGAAGGGGATATAAAGAGGGTAAATGTAAGTAGAGTTCCTGCCTTCTAACTTCCCCCTCTCTCTTTCACTCACCAACTAATTACAGTTTAGACAGAGTAAAATAAGTGTTTTAAAATAATAGAGCTTTAAAGTGCTAGGGAACACAGAATGGGAGATAATTAATACTGAGAGATCAGATAAAACATCTTATAGGAAGGGAACATTTAAGCTCTATGATGAAAGAAAGAGGATTTAGACAGATGGATTGAAGGTGAGGACATTTGAGTGTGACAGAAAAGAAATTCTAAGAGCAAAAAGTACATGGCATGTTTAGAGAATGAATAGTAGCCTATGAATTAGGAGTGTGGGGGTCTCTCGTTGTGCAGTGGGGCAAGGGAGCAATAAGGCCTTTGGAATTGATTGGACAAGCAAAAATATTCAATATCTTCTTTAAAGACACATATCTATGTGATGAAAAAAAAAATTTTTTAAGTGGGAATTATGCACGCAAAATTCAGGATAGTAGTTACCTCTTCTTGGAGAGGTGTAGAGATAAGTCAGGGAACACAGCTTCAAAGCGTTTAGTAATGATGTAGTTTTTAAGTTGGGTGGTAGGTTCATGGTGACTTTTATCATCATACTTCATTACTTACAAATACACTATACTTTATAGTATCAACTATTACATAATAGCTAAATTTGTCTGTAATTTTATCAAATCATGTGAAGCAAGATAGACTATATTTTTGTCACCCTTTTTTTTTTTTTACGTTTTAACATCTCTGAAACTGGGATATGTGTTACCGTCAGTGGTGTCTTAGCACCGTGTCATGGTTTTATTGGCAGTGATTTTTTCTTTCTTAGTGTTACATAAAATAATGGTGTGTCTTATAAGCGATGACATCTTAGATTCTGTGAAATATGGTACTCAAACATACTTGAGATTAGTGTAGAGTCACAATTCGCATTCTTTGAAAAAATGAACTTCTTTAGGCTCTCCGTTTTGCATTAAGGAAGTTTCTTTTTTCAGATTAACAAGGTGAACTAAAAAGACATTGTGTGAAGGTTGTGTACAGTCATGCGTCGCTTAATGACAGGGATATATTCTGAGAAATGCGTCATTAGGTGATTTCGTCGTGCAAACATCATGGAATGTGCTTACACAAACCTAGGTGGTATAGCCTGCTACGCACCTAGGCTATATGGTGCTAATCTTATGGGACCACCATCGTGTATGTGCTCCGTCGTTGAGTGACACGTTATTATGGGGTGCGTGACTGTATTGTACTGTTTTCAGAGAATGTTATTCTTAGACCTGCAAGAGTAAAGCTATATATCAGTAGTTAAGGAAAGGATTGGTTTTCTTTGAAAAGAGAAGTTGTTTCTGGTATCCTGAAACTTAGTCATGAGCCCCAGATATGTGAGGATGAGACTGACCTAGATTTCCATGTTATACTTTGTTCAATAAATGTTGCAGTTGGTGGTCTAAGTTTTTTGCTTTTGTTCTTCCTCTTCTCTTCCCCCTGAACTCTCAATCATGATTTATTTATATTAATTCACTGACTCCGGGATTTCCTGAGTCATATATCTTCTGGGCATTCAGAGGCACTAGAATGTGGAGAGGAGGAAGACATGGCCCATATCTTTGAAGAGCCCATAGTGTAGGTCACATAATCACAGTCTGTTATTAGTGGTTTAAAAGTGCTGCGATTAGTATGGATGAGACAGTGGTGAACTCTGAGGAAGTAAGAGAGTTTCACAGAAGAGAGGACAGTTGAATTGGGTCTTAGACGATAAATGAACTTCCAGGTAGTGAATTATAGACTAGCATTATAGACAGGGAAAGTAGGATATTCAAAAGATTGGCAGACCAATAGTGTACGTGTTCAAGTGAGCTTTTTTTTAGTAAAGCACCCTGCTGGCTTTGTTGTCCTTAGTGTTATTCTGTCTTTGCACACAGTTAAGCCTTCTACCCTTGTGCTTTTAACCATTTACATTCCTCCCCTTCTTCCTGTTTGTTCTGTTGCCTAATGCTAAGGAATCTACTTTGTTATCTTTGTCCAGGATCTGAAACATTAGTTATTGAGCCTTTTTTTCAGTTTTGAAATAACCTTTCATCTCTCTTTATTGGAATAATCCTCCTTTTAACACAAAAACCTCCTCAAATCTCACTTCCTGTGTGAAATCTACTGAGGAATAATAAGTTGGATGAGGCTGTGAGCTGTTTCCAGTGTTTTATCTTTATGTGATTGCTATTAAGTGGTCAGATTAAAAATAAGTAAATAAGATTTTAAAGTTATGTAATGTAAACATTCGAGTGCATGTTATAATATGTGGTATATTTGTGTTTGTTCCATATAGTACATGTAGCTTTAAATTATCTAGACCTCTGTGTTCAAAGCTCAGTGAAACCATGGGTTTAGTGGTGTTTGTGCTGGCTTTGTATGGGAGCTGTTGCTGAGGAAGAGTTGGCAGATGTACTCTCTTCTGTGCAGAGTTGTTTGGATGGGCCTTGACTTAGGCTGACTCTTCTGATACTCATGGCTCAGTCACCTGAGAAGGGGAGGTGCAGCACCTGCTATACTGACTAGGAGACCCTCCCTAGAGAAGCCACATGATTTCATCCATGGTCAGAAAGCCACAGACTAGCTCACTAGGAGTGCGTGCTCCTGTGAAGCAGATGGAGATGTTCTGTTCTGGAATATATTCTTTGAAGATCAGGAAGCCTGTTACAGAAACATATTTTTCTTTTCTCTCACTGAACGAGAGAAAAGAAGTTGGATAGTTTTCTATACATTGTAATATTCAATGAATACTAGCTATTATTATTATCAAGTGCTATTACATAAGTCCCCATTGCACCTTAGATAGAGGAGAACTTAGGATTACAACTTTATTCAGTACTTTAGCAAATATTTATTAAGCGTCTACGTACCAAACATGGACTATACATTAGTGAATAAAGCCGTCAAGGTTTTTGTCTTTGTAGAACTTAGCATAAAGGGGAAACAGACAAACAGGTAAATAAGCGAACGTTACATTACAAATTGTGATATGAGATGTGAAGGAAACAAGCAGGAAGTATATTGGATGATAGAGTGGACAGAGAAGGCCTTTCTGAGAGGGTGCCATTAAATTGGGACTTAAAGGGTGAGAAGGACCCAGACATGCAGTGATGTAGAAGTGTAGAATTTGGTGTCGGATATGGGTGTACAGGAGAGGGAGGGATCAAGGGTGATTGTCTGATTTCTGGCTTGAGCCTCTGGATGGACACTGATGCCATTCATAGAGAAGGGAAGAGTGAGGGAGAATGGTTTGGGTGAAGATTAAGAAGATGGCTGTGGGTGAGAGAGTAGTTTTATACCTATTTGGTTTGAGGTACTTGTGAAATACATAAGTGGATTTTTCAGTTGGATGTAAAAGTCTAAACTTAGAGGAGAGCTTTGGGCTGGGGGTGTACATTTTGGAATCATCAGCCTCTAGGTGCTAGTTAAAGTCATAGAAATGGGTGTGCACACACAGAAAAAAGAGTGCCCAAGACAGATCCTTGGAGAATGCCAACATTTACAGATCATTTAAAAGAGGAAGAGTAGAGACAAAGGAATGACCAGAGAGAGAAGGGGAAATCTGGAAATGCTAAGCTGTGCTTCGAGTTGCGAGTTGCACTGGGAGTGCAAGGAGGCCGCAGAACTTGGCCTCTAATACTCTCCGTGTGGGGGGCTCAGGCCTTTGTGTCAGTCACTTGTGTGTACTGCTGTCTTCTGAAAGGATACTGGGAAGCACTTGATTCTGCTCATGTAGATTTTAAACTCCTTGGGGGCAGGGAATGTGTTTGTTTTGATTGTTGCTGAATGCTCAGTGCTTGGCACATGGTAAAAACTGTTTGATGTTAAAAGATCTCAGGATAGCAGCAGTGTTTTTTCTACAGGTACAGCTATTTAGGTTTGCATGATTTTAAAGAGGCTAAAGAATTTTCTTTTTTTTATGGTTTTCCCACTCAATCAGGTTTTCAAGCTAGAAATGCGCTTCTTCAGTCAAATCTTTCTCAAACTCAGCTAGCTACTATTTGGTGAGTTTGTCCATTAATTGTGATTTTTAACTATATATCTTCTATTAAAAGAAAGATATTGTTTCTTGTAAAAGTTTGTGACTCAAAGATGTTCCATAAAAGCAGCCATTTGAAAGTTAATGCAACCTTGAACAAAGACAAAACTGTACAAAATGTTATTCTTGAGATTTTGGCATTTAATTATTTTACAAATAAAACTAGTTTGCTTTCATATAATGCCTTCTATGGAGAATTAGAGAATATCTCATTTTTAATGTAGAGCTAAATGTGATTTGATAGGTGAATTAACCATGAAACAAGACAAGTTGCTTTTTCAGGAATATTTCCCTTTCTGTTTCAAAGTTTCTTCCCTCTCTTTTGTGATACGACGATTAAGGGTAGAAATTAATTCACTTTTCTCTAAGTATTTACATTTCATTAAAATATGTTAACCCAGATGTTTTACTATCATTATTCTTGTTTTAAAAATAAAAAATTAAACTCTTCTGAAACTATTTTACTCCAAATGGACTTTCTTTCTAAGTTGTGAATTTTCACATTTTCCTTAGGACTCTGGCTGACGTTGATAGTGACGGACAGCTAAAAGCTGAAGAGTTTATCCTAGCGATGCACCTCACTGACATGGCCAAAGCTGGACAGCCATTGCCTCTGACTTTACCTCCTGAGCTTGTCCCTCCATCTTTCAGGTGAGACCTCTGGAGGTGAAGAGGTGTGGTTTTGATCACTTGGAAGACACGATTATTACTTAGGATTTCCTGAGGCGTCTGCTCTAGTTTAGTAGAGAGTTAAACATTTACACTGCTATTTGATTTTAGTATTTAATGTGTTACACCAGGAAGAAATAGATATTAGAAGTAGGTGTGTTTTCACCATATTATATAGATAAGGAAACTGCTGACTAAAGAGATTAAGCATAAATTTATCCAAGAACAGCAATTGGCTGAACCATGATTTGAATCCAGATCTATCTTGTTTGACAATCCATATACTGCTGTACCTTGTAACTACAGACCATACTGTGTTTTAAATATTTTTAATACTATGTTCTAAATATTAAACTGCTCTAGTCATTGGTAATCTGTATAGTCTAGTCTGAAAATTCCCAGACTGCATGATGCTAAATTTATTGTTTGCTTTCTTAGAGGAGGAAAGCAAATTGATTCCATTAATGGAACTCTGCCTTCATATCAGAAAATGCAAGAAGAGGAACCTCAGAAAAAATTACCAGGTAGTATTGAGTGTCTAAGTTGTATATTTATAGTGAATTCTCTTAAATTTTACCTTGAAATGTAAATGGATATTTAGAATTTTTACATTCTTAATATTTTCTATGCTCTATGAGAAACTATTTGATGAATGGGATGTATTTTCACATCAATAAAATTAAGGTAGTCAAAACTGGGAAGAAGAGTACGTACAAAGGAGGACAGTGTTTGCATTGGCAAGTGTGTATACTAGCTATCCTAGTTAAAATGCTTCTCCCACTTTAGGAAAATCATTAGGAAAGCTTTGTGATGAAATATTTAGCTTTAAAAAAAAAAGTTTAAATATTGATTGAAAAAGTATATGTGTAGATATTTTAAAATATTAAAAAGTTAATGGCACATATCAAATAAAACAAATGTATAGCCACATAGCTTTGGTTTCCTTGAAGAAAATGCTGAGAAAAAAGTTGAAAAGTATTTTCATTGGCAAGAATAGTAAAATTATTTTTTCTTGTGGATGGATTCAAACTTAGAAATTTGTTTTCTAAAAATGAATATTCTCAGAAGAAAGTAAATATTTTACTATTTACATTTGAGTTAAAATTATCGTTAGGAGAATTATCCAAAGAGTAATAGTACTCAAATGATTACAAGGCATGAGCATGTTGAAACTAGACCACAGGTTCTGTAGGCTCTTCATGTGCAAGAATGCTTATAATATACCTTGTTTAGTTACTTTTGAGGACAAGCGGAAAGCCAACTATGAGCGAGGGAACATGGAACTTGAGAAGCGACGCCAGGCCATGATGGAGCAGCAACAGAGGGAGGCAGAACGTAAAGCCCAGAAAGAAAAGGAAGAGTGGGAACGAAAACAGAGAGAATTGCAAGAACAAGAATGGAAGAAACAGCTTGAATTAGAAAAACGCTTGGAGAAGCAGAGGGAATTGGAGAGACAACGGGAGGAAGAAAGAAGAAAAGAGATCGAAAGACGAGAGGTTATTTTTAAGTTATCTTATTTCCTCAGAAAAATGTTACATTTAATAAGTGGCTACATTTCATTATTTTTGTTGTGCCTTTTCCTCTGCATCATTCATTCTTACTTATCCTGTACAAATCTGAATCTTCCTTCCCCCGTGGAGGGAAAGAGAGTCCTTGCTTGTGAGGGGTTTTCAGGGCCGATAACTGGTAGAGAAGGCATGTCTGCAGGTGATAGCTCAATCAGAGCAGGATTGATGGCAAAGCTGAATTGAGTGAGGAGCTAAGGTTAGTGAGCCAGAGGAAGGGATAAGTTTGATCAGGTCATTAAATGACAGTAAGAGGCTAAGGAATTGGAGAGGCAGAAAGACGAGAGTGGGGAGTCACAGATGTAAAGAGGAATCAAGAGGGTGGGCTTGCGCAAGTCTTGGGGATAAATAGTGTTGTGTGAGGTCTCTCGGAGGACTGGCTGTTTTAACGGGCTAGAGATGGAGCACTGTAAATTGTGGTGGCCCTGAAATAATGTAAATAGAAGTTTTGTTTTTCCCTGATACCAGAATAAGGGTACAATTATTCCTATTAACATTTATATTTATGAAATGATCCTTTTGTTTATTAAGAGAAAAGTGCAACAAAAGGATGCTTCTGTGAAGCAATCCAAAAGTCTGGTGGGTGAAGTTTCTTCTGTGGAAGTCTTTGTTTTAGGCCCGTTGTAACCCTAGGTTTGCCCAGTTTCCCTTAGGCACTCAAGCCCACTAAGTGCTAAATGCTGCCTCACCTTTTTCTTTGTCATCCCATCAGTTTTTGAATGATGCAAAATTGTTAATTTAAAAATTAACTTTAATTCATTATTTTCAGGCAGCAAAACAAGAGCTTGAAAGACAACGGCGTTTAGAATGGGAGAGAATTCGTAGACAGGAGCTTCTCAATCAAAAGAATAGAGAACAGGAAGAAATTGTCAGGTTAAACTCTAAAAAGAAGAGTCTTCATCTCGAGTTGGAAGCACTGGTATGGCTAAAGTTTAAGTGACATTTGTCTGAATGATGCTAGAGTTACCTAATGAAACATGTCGTTTTTTAAAAATCTACCTCTTGAATTCATTGTTTTAATGTAATTAGTCATATTTTCATATGTGCTTTTAACAGTCTGGACAATATAGTTTACTAAAAAAGGATAGCAACTCAATGTGCTGAGGATTATGTAATGGTCTCTGTTCAGATGTTGATAAACCATGTGCTCTTGGGCAAGACATTTCCCTTCTCTGTGCCTCGCTTTGTCCATCTGTAAAATAAACACTTGTACTAATTGGGTAATTTTCGGTTTCCATGTTGTTCTCTGGAAGATGGCCTATGGAGGGATATCTAGAGGCAGGAGATGGGGAAGCCAAGGCAGCAGGACAACGCTGTCTTCCCCAGTCCTTCCACACTTCACAACAGAGACGTGCCACATTTATCTGCTTTGCTTTTGTTGGAGTTTGATCGAAGATTTGCTTGGAAAAAAGGATTCTACTGCTAAAAAGAAAAAAATGATTAGAAACGATTGACTTAAATTGATCTCTTAATGATTCCTTCGAGTTCTGCAGGACTATGATTTTTAGCTAATATTGGCTACTATGCTTACCAATTACACATCAGATGACAGAGGGTCAGGTTGTTAAAAGACTTGTTTGAAATGCAAGATGAGAAGATAGATATAAAGGGTCTGGGTAAGGCAGATTATTCTACTATGATCATAGAATCCCATAAGCCTGATCTGATAGGGTAGTAGAGTTTTGCAAAAATGCATGTGTAGCCATGTGGTAGAGCCAAATTTAGATCTTTTTTAATTTAGTCCAACATTTTATTGGGTTGATGACTTGAATTACATTGAAAAATTATCACAATATCTTTAGTCAGAAAGGTCCTATTCTATGCCTTTGAATGGATAGAAAAACATGCCATAATTATTAATCATGCCATAGTACCACAAAACAGGCTTAAATAACTTGAACTGCTTTGTGTAGCTACTTGGATATCTGTCTGAACCATTATCTTGACTATATATTTTTCCTTAGAAATATAATGGGGGGTCATCTTAAGATTGATTGTTTTTCCTTCAAGAACTGGAGTAATGCACCAAGCAGTAGCATAGATTATTGTGCAGAGTCTGGAAAGGTCCAGAACCTATACTTACACATGCTGAAGATAATAACATGAGCTCTAGGATGGACATAGCGTATTCCCTTTAGCATGTACTTCTCAAATACGAAATTTTCATTATCAGTGATTTTTAACCAGGGGTCTCATTTCTCTTCACCCTACTATATTAATTTGCAAAGGCTGCCATAAAATACCACAGACCAGGTGGCTTAAACAACAGAAATTAATTTTCTCACAGTTCTGGAGGCTGGAATTCCAAGATCAAGGTGTCAGCAGGTTTGGGTTCTTTTGAGGCCTCTGTCCTTGGCCTCAAATGGCTGCTTTCTTGCTGTGTCCTCACTTGGTCTTTACTTTACCTGTGCATCTCTGGTGTCTCTTTTATGTCCATATTTTCTCTTCTTATAAGGACAGCCGTCAGATTGAATTAGAGCCCACCCATGTGACTTCATTTAACCCTTAACTACCTCTTTAAAGGCCCTTTCTCCAAATGCACTCCCCTTCTGAGGTACTGGGGGTTAGGAATTCAACATAGGAATTTTGAGGGGGAACACAGTTCAGTTCATGACACCTTACCCTTCTTCTCGTCTCCATTGAGAATCTCTGCTCTCTGTTTTTTCTTTTTCCCTACTTCTCAGAAGAAGAGGAAAGGAGTATTGGTATAGGAGAAGAGAATTGTGGCCCAAAAGGCCCTCCTGGACACTGTTTAGTTAGATGGAATTAGATGGCATCGAGGGTAGAAATAGAGGCTCCGAGAAGTTAATGCTAAATGCCACATGCAAACATTTATGCCTCCTCATTATTCTTTGAGATTGTCTCTATTTTAATATTATAAATTAACACCTCAATGCTGAATTCAGAAAAAAAATCAGTGTCTTATGTTTGTGCTTTCTCATCTTGATATATGGGGTCTTGTGCTCTAAGAATGGTGCATTTCCTGCTAATGGCTCTCAAATTAACAGATAGAACTCTAAAACATATTCTACTTGGTTTTAGACATTTATCTCATACTGAGTATAAATGACATGAAAAAATTTAAATAAAAATACTATTCTCCTGATAAGATTATTTTCTATTAGAATTTTATGTTACCATATATTTATACGCTCTTCCTATAGAATGGCAAACATCAGCAGATCTCAGGCAGACTTCAAGATGTCCGACTCAGAAAGCAAACACAAAAGACTGAACTAGAAGTTCTGGATAAGCAGTGCGACCTGGAAATTATGGAAATCAAGCAACTCCAACAAGAACTTCAGGTAAGTCCTTTGCTGCTGAATTGTCCTTAAACATGAACAGTTATTAATAATTCTTTCTAATAGGGTGGTTTTTGCTTTTGGGGTCATGAACCCCTTTGAGTCTCTGGTAAACCACCTTCCTAGGAAGATGTGAATATACACTGTCTCGTATATAATATCAGGAAGCTCATAGACCCCTTAAAGTTCTGCTAGACATCTGGTTAAATTCTGCTTAATATTTATACGTAAATGGACATTTATCACATTGTATTTTAGGTCTTTAATAAATAAATACACATATTACATTAAGGTTATTGCTACTACTTTTAGGAAATTTTGACTTAATGTTATTCTTTTCAGAATTGTGGTGAGAATGTTGAAAATATCACTAGGGACCTGGTAATTCTGTTCTTTACTTGTGTAGTAGGGTCTAGTTCAGTTCTTATAGTTTGCAAAATAGGGATTCTGCTTGCATTCTGCATCTCTAGAGTCCTCCTATCAAATTTCACTTTCTGTGTGGACTGGCAATTAATCAGTTTTTTCACTTTGTCACAGCAGATATAGACAAAGTTCAAATAACATTTGCTATCTGATTTAAATCTGCTTCCTTAGCTATCCCTGAGTTTTGAGTCTCTCTTTGATGTACACGTGTTCATTTGGAGTGTCAAGGCCTGCTTACATACACCATTAGTGCGGATACCGAAGGCACCTCTTAGCCTGGGCCCACTGTCACATCAGTACGCTGAAAATTGTAAGGCTTTTAGATATACCCCGTTAACAAAGGCTTTCTTCACCAGCTTTTAATTTCAGCCAGTCATTCATAAATGGATTTATATTTAAATATAAATCATGTGTACTTCCATTCTATTTTATTCATGAGTTGTAAGCAGTTTACAACTATGTATTATTCTATACTAAGTTTCAAGAGTGATTAAATCATATTTTTAAGTTTTCAAAAAATTCTTAGACAACATTGCAGAGTTTTAATCAAGCACTGCTTTTTCTTTTTATAAGGAATATCAAAATAAGCTTATCTATTTGGTACCTGAGAAGCAATTATTAAATGAAAGAATTAAAAATATGCAGCTCGGTAACACACCTGGTAAGTCTCTAAGGTTTATTTTGCCTCTTTTATACTTTTCTGAATGACTGTTTTGGTCATATTCTGTTACTTTTTAAAATAGCATTATTCTGTTACAAGTAATATTTTTTATCTGTAGTTAAAAATTTCAAATTAATGTGAAAAATGTCACAGATGTTAGAGCTTTCTTTCTTTCTTTCTTTTTTTTTTGTTGAGGAAGATTGGCCCTGAGCTAAAGTCTATGCCAGTCTTCCTCTATTTTGTTTGTAGGACGCCACTGCAGCAGGGCTTGACAGGTGGTGTGCAGGTCCGTGCCCTGGATTCAAACCTGTGAACCCTGGGTCACTGAAGTGGAGTGCACAAACCACTACACCACTGGGCTGGCCCCTTAGAGCAGTTTTAATAATAAAAAGTAAATAAAAATAAAATAAGTAATAATTGTGGTATACCTTCCTATCTTGATAACATTTTTATTTATGTATTTCAAATATCAATCAAAGTATTAGACTACAATTAAATAAGATACAAGTTTGGTTCTAACATTAAAGATTATATGTGCATTTTGGCAAAATCCTGCACTAATTGTAAAGAACTGTCTGGGAGGAGACTTCACTATAGGGCCAAACCTGTGGGATTCGAGGGTGAGAGTGTAGTGACAGGCCCAAACAGAATGGTATACCCTTCCCAGGCCTCTTATGTCATCTAACTCTGTGATTCATATAAAGAACTTTACCAACTTGGCCCTCTGACGCCTGTGGAACAAAATATTCCAAGATAATTTGTGGGAATATAACATTTTTCTTGCTTCAAGTCTTAACGAGAAAACTGAAAAACAAAAAAAGTGTATATTGGATAGTATGCCAGTAACAATATAGCAGAAGAAAGTTTCATTAATGAAAAGTAAATCTGCAAATGCTGTATTAGAACTGGCTGAAGTATCCTAAATGTCTCCCAGTGGAGTGTCTGTTAATCTTTCCATTCCAGGGATCTGTATTATACTTTTGGCTGTTTAGGAGGTCCAGTTAATAGTACCCTTCTTCTTTACCCAAGTTCTGAGCAAATTGAGAAATAAGGCAAAGGAACAAGACATATGAGACCAAACTATCACCTCATTATTGATAAAGCTGATACTGGACAGCATGGCTTATCTGGGTGTGGTATGGCTGCACCTGTGAAACACTGGGTGTGTGAACAAAGTAGGACGCAGATTTCCTGTGGGCAGTTCAATCTCAAGACAGCAAGGCATAAGAAGGGTCTAGGCTGTGTATGCCCAGGTTGTTATCTTGAGCTCACCAATCAGTGAAGGGGTGGAAAGAAGCTGGGAATGTTGTGCTGGTAAAGGGCCCTTCACATGAAAGAAACACCAGGAACAGAGAAGTTCACTCTTGTGAGAACTGCTCATGTTATATCTCCCACCTTCCCCTGATAAAGCCTGTCCATGTCTCTTCTCAGACACTCTTCCTTGCATGTGTTTCTTGTCTTGGCTGTTCAGAGTGTATCAGCTCCCACCTCGCCCCTCCAAGGGCATTCCAGAGGCAGGATGAACCAGCACTCCTGATCTGTTCAGTGGCAAAAAGTCTATCATCCTCCTCATCGTCGTTGTTAGTGTTTGGATTGTCAATGGAGTGTAGAGTATGTCTTATTGGGGACCTGGTAGTGCTACTCTTTCTCTGTGGAATGTGATCCAATTTTGCTGTTACTTATTTATTTTTGCTGTAGTCCAGTTCAAAAAAGGAAGCTTTTGTTTGGAATTTGCAAAGTACCCTGCATCCCTTAGACTCTTGTCTCCATAACCATTAACATTTAAGATTACCAGCCGTGTACCAAGCATTGTACTAGGCAGTTTTCATGCATTGTTTTCTTTAATCTCTACAACAGCCCTGTGAAGTAGTTGTTGTTATTCCCGTTATGCAACTCAGGAAAACGGAGACTCAGAGAAACTAAGTAGTTGCCCAAGATGGTGATAGGAGTTGTCAAATTCTTGTCTGTTTAAGAGCCCACTGTACTACCTTGTTGGCTCTCTGTCTTTTAGGTACCTAACACAGTGCTTGTAGATATGATATAATCAAATTCAGTATTAAAACATCCATTATTGCGGCCGGCCTGGAGATGCAGTGGTTAAGTTCGCACATTCTGCTTCTTGGCGGCCCGGGGATTCGCCAGTTCAGATCCCAGGTGAGGGCATGGCACCGTTTGGCAAAAGCCACGCTGTGGTAGGCATCCCACGTATAAAGTAGAGGAAGATGGGCATGGGTGTTAGCTCAGGGCCAGTTTCCTCAGCAAAAAGAGGAGGATTGGCAGTAGTTAGCTCAGGGCTAATCTTCCTCAGAAAAGAAGAAAGATCCATTATTAGTGATGCTCATTTTGAAGGATACAAAGAATGTTTATGAACTTATTTTTTCATACTGCTTGTCTTCCAACTTAACTAGACTCTGAACTACTTGAGGACAGGATGCATGCCTTATCCTTGTTTTTTACCTACCATTGACCATAGTGCAGTGCCTTGCTTCTAAGAGATGTGTAATTTAATGATTAAATATCTGTTGAAATACTGGAAAACTATTAGAATTATAAGAAAATTTAGCAAGGTGCCTAGATAAAAAAATTAGCATATAAAAACCAGTAACCTTACTATGTATCAAAAGTATTTAATTAGAAAATATCATGAAAAAAGGTCTTATATTAGCATTTTCATTGTTATTGAATAAAGAAGAAACGTACAGCTATAAAATTTTACTGATAGACGTAAAGATTCCTGGATAGGTTAGGTACATATTATGTTCCTGAATGAAGTAGCTCAGTATTATAAAGATGTCAGTTCTCTACTTGTTCATCCATATATTCAGGTCTATTCAGGTTTCTTTAAATGAAACTTGGCAAGATAATTCACAAATTTACGTAGAAGAGAAAATGTGCAAGATTAGGGAAGACTTGAAAAAGAAAAACATTGGTGGGGTGAAGAGACTAGCTCTACCAGATATTAAAACATGTTATAAAAGTTATAATGCCTAAATTAATGTGTTATTGATCAGAAATAGAAACACAGAACAATGGAACTGAACAGAGAATCTAGAAACAGGCCGATGGATGCATGGCAATTTAGGATAGGATAAAGTTGGCATTTCACATCAGTGGGGAAAGGATGGGCTTTCAATAATTATTATCCTTTGAATAAGTGATTTAGGGGACAGTTGATTATCTGAAAAGGGGAGTGGGGAAACTCTTTACAGAAATAAGTTCTAGATAAAATAAGAGGCTAAGCATAAAAAATAACTACAAAAATATTACAAACAAGCAAACATTTTTATAATCTGGGTGCCAGGAAAGTCTCTTCAAACAATACATAGAGCTATGAAGGAAAATATTTACAGACATGATGACATAAAAGTGAAAAACTTTTTCATGGTGAATGATATCAATAGTAAAAAATTTGAAATATATATACTGCAACAAGAATGTAGAGCTTCTACAAATGAGAAATTAAGAGAACCTAATAGGGAAAAAAACGGGCCAAGAATGAGATGAGGCAATTCAAGATAATGGCCAATAAATATATAAATAGATGTTTATTCCGCTTCAAGAAAATACAAATTGAAACAAGATTTATTTTTTGCCAATTAGCAATAGTGAAAAAAGATGGGGCCGGTCCAGTGGCCCAGTGGTTAAGTTCACATGCTCCCGCTGTGGCGGCCCACGGTTTCGCTGGTTCGGATCCTGGGTGCGGACGTGGCACTGCTCATCAGGCCATGCTGAGGCAGCATCCCACATGCCACACTAAAAGGACCCACAACTAAAAATACACAATGATGTACCGGGGGGCTTTGGGGAAAAAAAGGAAAAATAGAATCTTTGAAAAAAAAAAAATAATGATGAAAAAAGATTGGTAATATCCAGTGCTGACGAGGGTATGTAGAAACAGGTTCTTTGGTGTCATTGTATATTGGTACAGCTTTTTGGAAAGGCGGTTTGGCAGTGTCCAAATTTAAAGTGTTCAAATCCTTTTATATGGCAGTTCTTTCACCTCGCTTTATAAAATACTTTTACACATGCATTAAAATGTATGTACAAGGATATTTATTGCAACGTTTTTATGTAATAGTAGAAAATTAGAAACAACCTAAATGCCTGTCAAAAAGGGAATAGTTACATAAATTATGGAATAGCCATAATGTAGACTAAAATGGAGCAATTTTAACGAATGAACTAGATCTGTTGTGTTGATTGATAGCGTGTGTTATTAAGTTTAAAACAAGTTGCTGAGCAATGTAGACCATATGATCTCATTAAAACCCTGTGGAAATGAATGTTGAATATGCATATATCTAAATGTAAATGCCTAAGAGAAGATAAGCTGGGGGTTGACATGAAGGGAACTTTTTACTTTTTACTCTATATGCCTCATTTTATTTAAATTTTATACTAGATTTCTGTACTTTTAAAAATGCCATAAAGTTTTAAAATATGTATTTAGATAGTAAGATTGCTATTTTAATTTATTGTAGTATAATCTGCATTATATATTCCCATCTAGTTTCTCCATCCCCACGTTTATAAGAAAAGATCATATAAAATGAAGCCCTCTCTGTACTTACCTCCTAAAATAATATTACTCAATAATCCAGTTACTAGATTTATTGAGTCCTTGCCATGAATATTCCTCTCTTCTTGGGAGCACTAAGAATAAATAGAAAGCTGCTTTAACAGTAGCTGCTATTAATTTGAGTATTTACAATGGGCCAGACTAACGGCTTTATATCCCTCACCTCATAAATGAGGTGGGTGATATGCCCACTGTATAGAGGCAGGGCCTGAGGATCAGATTGGTGAAGCGCCTTACCCAAAGTGGAGTGTTACTTCAAGTCCTGGTGCTTTTGAGTACAGAACCAGTTCTTGTAACATTTCCCTATGAGGATCTTCCCATGATATGATCTGACAAAGAGGAAATGACCACGGAGTCTTTTTCTCTTCATCTGATCCATGTTATGCACGTACATCCTTTGTTTTTTTCTAGTTACACCCATTTGACCAGGTAGTAAATGTGAATTACTGATAATGACATAGGAATTTCTACCAAATGTAAACTGTCTGATGTTTGTATTTCAGATTTAGGGATCGGTTTACTTCATAAAAAATCATTAGAAAAGGAAGAATTATGCCAAAGACTTAAGGAACAATTAGATGCTCTTGAAAAAGAAACTGCATCTAAGCTATCTGAAATGGATTCATTTAACAATCAACTAAAGGTATTTATCTTCTGTTATATTCATTTTTAGTTATCTACCTTCCTACCTTCCTTATTTTGATTTTATAGAATGAATAGCTGAAGCTATTATTGTTATATGTAGTATATTTTCATAATTTATAATTTGAGCTATACCAGGATTGCAAGATTGTTTTTAATGTTCTCTGTAGATATTATGAACATTGTGTCATGTAACTAACCATACCATTTACCATAGTTTCCAGTTTTCATGACTGTTTTGAATGGCATCTATACACTTTAATAATAATTGCCTTTGTCAGTATTAGAAAACTGGTCTCAGCCAGCATAATCTTAGACAAAATTCTAAAATGGGAAGTATGAAAAATGTAAAATAATCCTGGTGATAGGGGCTATTTTAACACACTAAATCTCTTTTTTCCTTTGTTACAATTTAATTTAATTAACCTTTGTGAAATGATGCAGTAATCAGTGAAATCGGAACATAATCTGGCACTATGAACTTTGCATGAGAAGTAAGTTCATGATTCCTTGTTGCTGCAGTGGCAGAGCACATGTCCAAAACATGCACCTTAGGCTTATTCTGTGCAGTATTAGTTGTATACTGAAGCCATACTTATGAATGATAATATTAAAAGCTAAAGACCAGACTAATGGCACATCATTCAAATTTGAGAATAGTCTCAGTTATTTCTTTGCTGAGCATAAAGTTTTCAGAGCATCAGGTATTACATAGTTTTTCAGGCAGCTATCTGTCTCTTCATGTGACTTCTGTCTTGCTGACTTATTTAGAATAATGTTACACCAACTATAGAGTCAACAGTGTGATAAAGAAAAGAGACTGTGGTGGCTTCAGTTAAGGAGGGGAAATTTGAAGTGAATAATGTTAATAATACATTTTACACAAGCATGTATTCTATAGAACAAATTTTAAAGAAAACCAAATAATTTTTCATTGATGGACAGACCAGCCAGCCAAGTTATCTTCCCTACATTATTTTTTTAAAAAATCTGTACATAGTTTAATTGGCTTTTTATCTGCCTTATCTTACAGTGTGGGAATATGGATGACTCTGTTCTTCAGTGCCTTTTGTCTCTGCTAAGCTGTCTCAACAACCTCTTCCTCTTACTTAAGGTTATTTTCTAATATCTAGCTCCTTTTCTTTGAGTTACTTTACTGTTTTCTTTTTTAAAAAACTAGACTATTCTTTGCATTTATCTGAGTATCTTTGTTTGAAATAACATACAATATAGATCTTTTTTCTTTCTGCTTGCTTGAATATCCTTCTGCTGTCTAACTGCCTGTTTGAGTCTAATGCCAGAAATCAGTAGAGTTGCCTGGAGTAACCTTTCTTATGAGGAGCCCAGGATACTTAGAAATTTTACCTGGTTCCTGTTCAACATCCCTGTGCGTTGGGTTAACTGATGGGCTGATTACTGATTCAATTAAAAGGAAAGCTAAAAGAGTATGAGATTAAATCATTTACCTATATCACTGAAAATCACTGTTTGAAATAAAACTTATACTTTCTGAAATCTAAGGCAAGGTTATATCATGTATATATGGGCTGCTTCATAGTACTGTTATAAGGAAAAATCTTAAAGAACCAATAATGTAGGGCAGCTTTAGTTAATGTCTAGTTACCAGGCCTCATGTTTAGACAGGCTTGCACTTCAGATAAAAAGGTTTAAATCATATGTATAAATAAATAGTTTGTTTTGTCGTGTACAGCATACAGAGTATTTAAAATACTCAGTGAATTCCTCTTTAATGTAGTTTAAAAGAAATGTGCTGACCCTAGTAGATTTTGACTGTGCATTCTACTCGGTGCTCCAATGATGGCAGTAGGACAGTTGCATATATACACACAGTGAAGACAGGAACAGGATAAGTGGAACTCATTTGTTACCTAAGCAAAGGTAGAGCAAATTGGAAAGGTGGTATCAGCCTTTCCTTTATGGTTAGAGCATGAATGGCCAGATTCTCTGGTCTTAGAACTTTTGCTGCTGATTGCACAGAAATTTAAACCTAGAATTCTTCATCTATAAAATGAAATTTGATGATGATTTGTGAACTGTACTCACACTCATAAGTCTGATTCTTTTAGTTAGCATTTGATTCTTCACAGGCCAGCAGATTATTCTTGTTTCTTTTACTTTCTTCCTTCTGCTTCCTGCCTTCTAGCCTTTCACTGCTTATTGATACTTTCATCAGAGGCAATTTAGGAAACTAGAAGGGGATGAGACCTGTACTGTCAGAGTGCTCAGGAGATTGTCACAGAAAGCAAGAAAAGAGGCATTCTGTAATTATCTTTGTAAAGTGATACAGAGCAATCAATTAACGTAGTACTGAAAAATATCCATCTAATGGTCAACAAAGAGGCCTTTGAAGACCTTTCTAAAAGTGCCATTTCAGCTGAATGATCAGCATAAGCTGGATTGCAGCAGATCAGGAATGAATGGGAGTTGAGTTAAGTGACTGAACAACTCTTTAGGAGAGGAGTGAAGAGAGATCGTGAGATTGAAGGAAAACCTTTTTTTTTGGTTTAAGAAAGACTTGAAGGACAAAGAATACAAAGTTTTTGTTATGCGAGATGAGTAAGTTCTGGGATCTAATGTATAGCGTGGATTCTTTACTATAGTAAAGAATACTCTATTGTATACTTGAAATTTGCTAAGATGATAGATCGTAGACATTCTTACCACAGGGGAAAAAAAAGAAAGAAAATAATAACTATATGAGATAGATAGATAGATGTTAATTAGCTTGATTGTGGTGATCATTTCATAGTGTATACGTATATTGAAACATGAAGTTGTACACCTTAAATATATACAATTTTTATTTGTCAGTTAGACATCAGTGAAGCTGAAAAAAAAGAATAATTGGGACCACCCTTGGAGATGGTATCAGCTTTCCATGAGGCATATGGCTACGTGAGGAAGGGATAGTTTCTGTTAGGACAGAATAATGGAAATGGATAAAATTGAGCTGGTTAGGTAACTAACGATATTATTTCAGTGTCTTAATGATGATTGCCTGGCTTAAGCCATATATTTCATTGCTGAATTCCCAGTGCCTGGAACAGTGTATAGAACATAGTGGGTGGCAATAAATGCTTGTTGAATGAATGGTTTTTGAATGTTCTGAGTCAGAAAATATGCAGCATTTAGGGTTATTAGTATATGGAGTTTATGAGAAAAAGTAGAAATAAATTAGTCAAAAAACAGCAGAGAACTATATATCCCAGATTTTAGGTATACTTCTGACTCTATGTAACTTATTTTAAGTAAAGGCTATTTTTTAAATGCAAAAAAAAAAAAAAAAAAAAGACTTGAAGGAGACAGTAAAGAGAGAAGGGAGGAAGAGAAAGGAGAGAGATTGAGACTGAATATATAAGGTAGTGGTAATTGATAGAGCAAAGTCCCTAGAGAAGCAGATTAAGATATAATCTAGAGCATAGATTGAAGGATTGGATAAAAAAGAGTACTTCCAGTGTTATGGTATACATATACATATGGGGATGAGATAGGTGTGAATGTAGTTAAATTTGCTGGTGGAGAGTAGATAATTGACAGCTTCAAAACTTAAAATCAGATGCAAGTTGGACCATTACAAGTAGTCTTCCTGGGTAGTTGAGGAGATGGAATAACGCATACTAGATTAGAATAAGATGGGTGCAATTGCAGGAAGTTTTTTTGATTTTGAGATGGAAAGATGAGGGAGTTCCAGTCTGGATTAATGAGGCAAGATTATGAGCTGGTAATGAGGAGAATGAATAGAAGCTTAGGAAGTTTCAGGAGAGAAAAGTAGGCATGAAATAGACCTCTTGGTGAGGGCGGAGGGTGCAGGCTTAGTAGAGGAGAACAGTAGGTGTGCTTAGCAACGTTGAATGCCTATTTGAAGTTGGAGGTCGTGTATATAAATTGAAAACAGCACACCTAATTGTATGATTTTTCTTCACCAAAGTTCAGCTGCTTGGGTGTAAGCACAGAGAAGACTGATGAAATAGGTTCATAGGTTCATACAGGTTTGGGGTCTTAATAGGCATGGGCAAAGAGGGAGGGACAAAGGAGTTATAGATCTTGACACAATAATTATGATAAAAGTGGGCTCTGAAATACGGACTGGACATAAAGGGATGTGAGGAGAGGAAGCGGGTGCTGATGAAAAAGGAGAGAACAATGGAGTCAACAGAATGGAGGTCTCAATGAGATTGGAAAGCTGTTGAAATGGATGTACCAAGTATAAGAAAAGCTTGAAGGATAATAACTTAGGTTTGAAGAGGGAGGTATTTGATCACTGGTACTTCTCTTTCTGATGATGACAAGATTCAGGGTATAATAATGCAAATGATGGATTAACTGGAGTAAAAAAGTATCATTGTTGAGGAGATCAACCTGAGAGTTGAAGTTTTGATGGAGTCATCTATGTGGATCTCAAAGACTTGGAGAATAGTGAAGATGAATGATTGAGGACAGTTTGACTTTGAGGTGACCAATAAATGATAATAAAGAGGAAGAGAAAGTGGTAGTGCTGGATGGTATGAGCCTCAGAAAAGCATGGAGTTTGTAAGAATGGGGAGAAATAATGGTCTGGAAATGGCAATGAAGAATATGGAAAATAGTAAACTTATCCTCTGCCCCTGATGTAAATGTGATAATAAACTGAGAGAGAAACAGAGGAAAAGCAGTGTCCTGAGACATCAGCCAAAAAAGGCCCAGGAGGTAGGGGAATTTCCATTCAGAGAATGTGAGAGTTTCCTGACCACAAAGAGGGAGTTCCAGGGCAGTGGAGGGGTTTGAGGGGAGCAAGGGTAGGGGATTGGGTCAGACCAAGGGATAAATAGCATCATAGAGATGAGAATTCAGGTGGTAGGGATGACAAGAAAAGCTGGGGCAGTTGATAGGTGAGATGGAATTGGTCCCAATGGTCTTGGAGGACAGACAGTTCTAATTATGTCATCCTTTGGGACAGTAGAGATTCTGAAGTGATCACTACTTTAGGCTACTTGTGGTGAAACAGAAGTATAACATTTAAGACTGTTTGTTAGGAAATTATTGTTAATTGGACCCTATAATAGACATGTACAGGATCAGTGATAATTTTTACTCTTTTGCTCAGGTCACACTAGGACAAATAGTAAAGCCAGTAGGATGAGATATTTGACAGGCCATTATTCTGTTAAGGAAATTCACATAATATCTTATCTTTAGCAGTGAGGTACAATGAAAAAAGTACTGGCCTAGGAATCTGAAGAAATGGGTTCTGGTTCTATCCGTGCCACTTGCTAGTTGTGTAACTATTTGTCGTTTAACCTCCAAATTTTGCTTTCTTCATTGACAAAGTGAAGCTGACCATATCTACTCTGCCTTCTTTGCAGTCTTATGATGATTAAATGAGATAGCATATATTTGGAAGTGTTTTGGGAACTGTTAATATGCTATACAAATATTTTTATTGTTCTTATTAGGGAGGAGATTATCCTGAATCTCCAAAATACCTTTAGTGTATTGGAGAGTCACCACTGTTGACTTTGGATAATGATTAAGGAAATACTTTTCCTTAGAGGGAAAATCGAATCCGTCTAGACCGGAATTGCGGTTTATTCCAGTGGGTTAGGTTCTTCTTAACCTGTACTCCCAAGGATCTGGGGTAACCTGTATTAGTGGCAAGGTAAGATTTTTATTTATAGAGGGGACAACTACTTTTGGGATCAAGAACGCTAGTCCTTTCGATTGTAAGTACAAACTTGAATGAGCTATGAACTAGATGTTAGAGAAAACATTTCCCAAACTCATAATAAAAGCGTTAAAGAAATATTCTCTTCCTCCCTTCAGAGAATTTGAGGTCTGCCTCGGGAACTTCTTTGCTCCAGGGTGAGGTATAATAGTAGGAAGTGTGGGCCTAAAGAGCTGCTGGGAGACGTAGGTTATAAATATTGTTTATAAAGCAAAGGCTCTTAACTATCTTTGTGCCAGTCTCTTCAGGTTTGGTGAAGTCTCTGGACTCCTTCTCAGAATAATTTTTTTAAATGTATAAAATGAAATATGTAGAATTACAAGGAAAATCAATTGTAAGAGTCAGAAAATATTTTTTAAAAGTAAATTTGTGATACAGTAATATATGTGCTT